GCGAAGCCGTTTAGTCAGCGCACCCAGGGAATGAATCGAACAGGGCAGGGCTGTTGAGTAAACGACCAGGGCCGTTCAGTAAACGCCAGTTGTCGGGGTCTGGGCGGTTTTTCCTCCCTTGACCCAGGCAGGGCAGGAGCTCGGCACACAGCTCCCCTGGTGGGCGCAGCCACGCACCGCAGGTCGGCAGCGAGCCCACAGGGGGGGCGGCAGCCAAAGGGGGGGGGACAGGCCTCTTCAGTGGGCTCGGCGGGCCCACGGCCTTCTGAGAAGTTGTCGAGGCCCTCTCCGAAGCCGCGGCCTTCTGCGAGTGCATACCCCCATCTCACGTCCTCGCCCCCCAGGTTTAGGTCGGGCATGTCCTCCTACAGGCGGATGTTGCGCGAATACCTAAAAATGTCAACAAAAAAAGGTGCAAAACCACACTGTGTTAAATAAAAATGGTGTTATATGTATATGTGTGTGTACACCCATATACATACATACATACATACATACATACAGACAGGCAGGCAGGCAGGCAGACAGACAGACAGACAGACAGACAGACAGACAGACAGACATGCATGCATGCATACATACATACATACATGCATGCATGCATGCATGCATGCATGCATACATACATACATACATACATACATGCATACATCCATCCATCCATCCATCCATACATACATACATATACAATAGCTATAGGTATATACATATCACAAAAGACTTCCCGTACTGTTTTTTTACTCGTTAGATCCTGCTCCTAGATCCTCCTCCTGCAAGTTATTTCTGCAGTGGCCAATTCGTTTTGACCATCTCTCCTGCAGAGGGACACGCCCGACTTCACCCGGCGAGCGAAGCGGGAGGGAAAGGCGCGCGGGCGGACGGAGATAAAGGGAGCGGCGCGGGCGGGACTGGGCGAGCGGGGCGGACAGGGCACAGCCTCAAGGGGCCCTGGGACACACAAATGAATCCGCACAAATCCCAGGATTCCCCATATTTTCCAATATTTTCTGGATTTTCGTCTGCCCCCCCCATTGTCCATATTTTCCCATACATTCTCCTGGGAATCGACGACTCATTGTGTCTGTGTGTTTTTCCCCCTCCTGACAGTCCTCGACGGGGTTTGCGCAGCAGCTCACCGCGCGGCGAGCGAAGCGGGGCGCAAGCGCCCAGGCGGACGGACAGAAAAGCAGGGCTGGCGGGGTGGGCGGGACTGCGCTCGACGGGGCCGGGCGGGGCGGGGCGGGGCGAATGTCCGACGGAAGGGTGCGCACGCTGCGAACGACCGGTAGAAGGGTGCGAAAGGGAGGAGGATGAAGCGGGGGAGCACGGTATCATCTTGGAACCTCATCCTTCCCCTCGTGTTCTTCCTCCTCGCCGTCACGATAATGCTGCTGACCTCCTGAAAACCCCCGTCCTCATCATGGTCCAAATGCTGCTGCTCCACTGCGCCGTACGCCGCGCCGGACGCTTCGCGGGCTATCTCCTCACTTTTGGACGAGGCGCGCGCGTGCGCACGCATTGATGCTCTCACCTACCGCGCAAACCCGATGTCCGTGGTGCCTGCTGCGCGCATGCTTTGCAGCCCTCGCGAGCCTCTGCGCCCCCACGACCCGACGACGGAAGACGACGACGACGACGACGACGACGACGACGACCAAGACGACCAAGACGACCAAGACGACCAAGACGACGACGACGACGACGACGAGACCGACGCCGACCACGACGACGACGACGACAACCAAGACGACGACGACCAAGACGACGACGACCAAGACGACGACGGCGACGACGACGACGACGGCCAAGACGACGACGACGACGACGACGACGACGACGACGACAACGACCAAGACGACCAAGACGAGCAAGACGACCAAGACGACGACGACGACGACGAGACCGACGCCGACCACGACGACGACGACGACGACAACCAAGACGACGACGACCAAGACAACGACGACCAAGACGACGACGGCCAAGACGACGACGTCCAAGACGACGACGACCAAGACGACGAAGACCAAGACGACGACGACGACGACGACGACGACGACGACGACCACGACCACGAAGACCACGACCACGACGACGACCACGACGACGACGACGACGACGAAACCGACGACGACGACGAGCGCGGCTACGACGACGACGGCCGGCGGGACCCTCGCGGGCTGGCCGCCTCACGCTCCTCCACGGGCCCTCCAGCTGCATCCTTTCCCTGGCCGAGCCATTCGGCTCCTGCAGCCGCCTGGCGGCCGCGAGCAGCATGTTCTCGCCTCGCACGCCGCGCCCCCGGCGGCGCGGAGGGGGGGGGGGTAGAAGGAGGAGGAGGAGGAGGACGAGGACGAGGACGAGGAGGAGGAGGAGGAGGAGGACGAGGACGAGGAGGAAGAGGACGAGGAGGAGGAGAGGAGGATGAGCATGACATGAGCAGGACCAGGAGGAGGAGAGGAGGAGGAGGACCTCCTCCGCCTCCTCTTCCTCCGACTCCAGCCACCGCTAGGGCCCCAACTCCTCATCATACTTCACGTCCCCCTCAGCCCTGGCGCGCTCCCGCGAGAGGAGGAAGGAGGAGGAGTAGGAGAAGGAAGACCCGACTTGTGACACTTCAAGCTGTTCACCATGGCGAGGCTCATCCACTACCCTTCCCAAGAGTTACATGACGGCTTGCACCACGAGAGTCACTCACGTCGTGGCGCATGGGTCATGGAGTCAACCACATCCTCATCCTGCTCCGTCCGCCTCATCCTCCTCCTCCAACTCCTCCTCCTCCTCCTCCTCTTCGTCTTCCTCCTAGTATTCCTCCTCCTCCTTCTCCTCCTCATGGTCAGCATGATCATCATCATCACCATCATCATCATCACCATCATCATCATCATCATCATCATCATCCTCATCATCATCGTCGTCGTCATCATCAGCAGCATCAGCATCAGCATCAGCATCATCATCATCATCATCAGCATCACCATCACCATCATCATCATCGTCGTCGTCATCATCATCATCATCATCATCATCATCATCATCATGATCAGCATCGACATCAGCATCCTCATCATCATCATCAGCAGCAGCGTCGTCATCATCATCATCAGAATCATAATTATCATCACATTAAGAATCATCATCAGCATCACCACCACCATCATCAGGACCACCATCATCATCATCATCATCATCATCATCATCATCATCATCAGTGTCGTCGTCATCGTCATCACCGTCACCATCATCATCATCATCAGAAACAGCAACATCAGCAGCTGCATCATCATCATCATCATCATCATCATCATCAGCAGCAGCACCAGCAGCAGCAGCACCAGCATCATCAGCAGCATCATATTCCTCATCCTCATCTTTCTCCAACTCCTAGTCCTCATCCTCATCCTCATCCTCATCCTCAGCATGATCCTCCTCCTGCTCCTGATTCTCCACCTCCTCATTATCATCATCATCATCATCATCATCATCATCATCAGCATCATCATCAGAAACAGCAGCATCAGCATCATCATCATCATCATCATCAGCAGCAGCAGCAACAACATGGTCGTCGCCGCCGTGGTCATCATGCCCAGCATACTCATCAGCATGAGCAACAGCATCATCGTCAACATCAGTCTCCTCCTCATCATCATCATCATCAGCAGCAACAGCATTAGCATCATCATCATCATCATCAGCATCAGCATCAGCATCAGCATCGTCACCAGCATCAGAATAATCATCATCATCATCACCATCATCAGTATCATCAGCTTCATCACCATCAGCATCATCATCATCATCATCCTCATCATCATCATCATCATCATCATCATCAGCATCATCATCATCATCATCATCTTCATCATCAGCAGCAGCAGCAGCAGCATCAGCATCCTCATCGTCATGATCATCATCATCATCATCATCATCATCATCATCATCATCGTCATCGTCATCGTCATCATCATCATCATCATCATCATCATCATCACCAGTCGCAGCATCAACATCGTCACCGTCATCATCATCAGCTTGGTCAGCATCGCCATCATGATCATCATCTCCAGGAACATCAGCACCATAGCATCACAATCATCAGCATCAGCATCATCATCATCATCCTCATCATCATCATCATTATCGTCATGATGATCATACTCTTCATGATCGTCATCGTAACATCGCCGTCGTCATCAACGGCATCAGCATCACATCATCGCCATCATCAAAATCGTCATAATCATCATAAGCATCATCAACAAAAACAACATCATCAACGTCATCAACATCCTCGTCATCATCATCATCTGCATCATCATCAGCATCGTCAACACCATCATCATCATCATCATCATCATCATCATCATCATCATCATCATCATCTTGATCACCCTCATCATCATTCGCAACATCACCATCAGCATCGGTACCGTCATCATCATGATCATCACCATCATCACCATCATCCTCATCATCAGCTTCATCACCAGCATCATCATCATCATCATCTTCATCATCATCATCAGCGTCATCTTCATCATCATCATCAGCAGCAGCATCAGCATCCTCATCGTCATGATCATCATCATCATCATCGTCATCATCATCATCATCACCAGTCTCAGCATCAACATCGGCACCGTCATCATCATCAGCTTGGTCAGCATCGCCATCATGATCATCATCTCCAGGAACATCAGCACCATCAGCATCACAATCATCAGCATCAGCATCATCATCATCCTCATCATTATCATTATCGTCATGAAAATCATCCTCTTCATGATCGTCATCGTAACATCGCCGTCGTCATCAACGGCATCAGCATCACATCATCGCCATCATCAAAATCGTCATAATCATCATAAGCATCATCATCATCAACAACAACATCATCAACGTCATCAACATCCTCGTCATCATCATCAGCATCATCAGCATCAGCATCAGCATCGTCAACACCATCATCATCATCATCATCATCATCATGATCACCC